AAATTAATACCAACTGGTTACGATCATCTGCATTATATATCATATAAATGCATAATTTGGACCTAAAGAGCGAAAATTGGGAACTAGAAAAGGAAAGATGAAAAAAGAGTGACCCTCGTATGCTTCTTTTATGTTTTGTATAGCCGTTATTTTTCCCTGAAAGGATGTGCGAACATCTGAAGTTCACAATTCAATATTTACAAACTAAAGGATTAAAAATGAACAAAATCATCATTCTTGGTGTCCACAAAACCTCTTCATAGTAGATACCGTACCCTATAGACTTGAATGTTTCCAAAATTTCAATTTAGAGATGCACGCATGATTCGGAGCCACAAACACAAGATCAATTAATGTGTGTACTGACCTGAGATCTCTCTGAAACACAACAAACCTTTTGGAAACCAAAATCATAGTGTGCTTATGTTGTTGCACATAGTGGGCTTGTGAAAAAATTTAAAGAAGCATTTATAATGTGTTCAAAAATACATTCAATTGTTGCATTATTAGCATGCAGAGGTTAAAATGTAGTAGGGACAGAATACCATAGCCACACAATCCGGTGAAGAAGATTATTGGAGGAACTAAAAATGCATTGATAGAAAGACTATTAAATTTAAAATGTTCATTGTTCAATATAGTGAAGATCCAAACAGTAGGTGTCAAATCAGCTTTGTCATCTTATTGAACGCATCTCTGGACTAATTAGCATCATTTGTAATATAGTATCCATTCTTCAAAGAATTAAAGGTAATGGCATTAGGTTTTACACAACATTCTACTAAAACTTAGACATGCCCTAATTAAAAAAAAAAAAGTTCTCCCATTGACAAAATCACGTTCTAGCATATTTCAATTTGGTTCATCAGGAGAATAATTTTTGAGATGTTACATATTACTTGTTTCTGTTTGAATAATTGAAAGTTTAGATGCAATTTTGTTTTCAATAATAAGCATCCTTAACCTGTGACTCTTTTTGACTCCACTAACTATATGATTAGAGATTTCTTGCTTGCTAATGCCTTTTTTCCTTGTAGAATCAAGAAGTATAAATGATGCTCTTGAAAGTGCGTTGGAAGCCTCCTTTTGTAGGGGTTATTTAAGATAAATTCTGATGCTGCTTCTACAAATATTCCTCTTCTGCTGGGTTGGGAATCTTGTGCAAGGATGATACAAGATTATTTCTTAAAGGTTGGATGGAAATAACCATGGCCTGCTCTAGTTTTTCAGCAAAAACGCTCGCTGTAAAAAAAGGTATGGTACTTTCCCAAGCGCAATTTAAAATGATGGAAGAGTTTTTAATTTTGTAATCAGAATCAAAATAAAATTAAGCTTTAAATATATATTTAGTATAAAAATGGAATCTTAATTTAATTTTAATTAATGTACATACTTAGAATAGAAAAACACCAAATTGCCCTTTTTTTTCTCAAAATTAAAAAAACCTCCTTAATCATAATTAGACAAAAAAGATGAGGGTAGTGGGGTTCAGAATACAATTCTAAAGAACTAAAGCAATTCCAAGGTCATTGTAATGGAATTACATTCTAGCATTTTTGGTAGAATCAAAATTCTTAAGAATTGCAACTTTTATATGCCAAATAAGTTTAGATTAGGATTCTCTTTCGGATTTTATTTTCACCTTGTCAATTTAATAATACCAAACATGGCCAAGAATTTTTTCCACAAGAAGCTATAATTGAAATGGATTACACTAATCTACACAGGGCTCTAGCTTCTCGAGACATTCTTTCTTGTGAATGGGAATGCCACAGTACCCTTGAAGACTTGGTTGATGCTTGTGAATTGTTTTGGCTTCAAGGGAGTTGGGATTGTTAGGTTTGGTTTTACCACCATTACCTCCTCTAACTTCTGTTATTCTTACAGATGCTTTGCATTTTTCTCTATCTGTTATGAATTTAATTTGAATTCTCTCTATATCTTCTCTCAATACATCTCTCAATACTCAATCTTATCCATTCATTTGATTTAATTACATCATCTTGTTAATTATGGCTGTAATATAAATAGATTATCCACTATTATCTCTTAAATGTTTTGAAAATAAATTTATAATACTTATTTATGATGATCATTAAATGAATAATATATTTATTTTAATGTTATAATCAACAATCTGTCACCATTAAATCAAATAAATAATAAAATGGATAGATGGGATTGAATATTAAAAAATGTATTAATAAAAGGCATAGAGAGGATCCACATCCGTTATGGATCAAAGGTGCAATGAGGCCGAAAGAAAAGGAACAAGCCAATTGTTAGTGTGGATCTCTGTAATATTTTTTGCTCATTTAGTTTAGCGTACTTTCTTGTTTAGTCGTTTTATGTTTGTTTTGATTTCTTTGTTTGTGAAAAAAACATTTTAACAAAGAATTTAAAATATACTTAAAATACATTTGATTTATCAAAAAAATAATTTTAATAAATGTTTTTAGAAAATCTTATTATTTAGACGTATATAGAAAGCATGAATTAAAAATGTAATATCATTATGAATAATCTGGTTGAAATAATTTATAATTTCTTTTTATAAAAACTTCATTAAGTTTTTGTACGATGTTTTAAATAATTTATTTATTTTTTAATATAGTCATTAATTCAAAATTTTTAAATTTCGGGGGAGTAGACATTTCTATTATAAGAATAAATTAATAATTTTACATTTTTTTTACCCAAATTTCGACAAACAAGAAAAGCAATTTACAGGTTATTTAGATAGCTCTGAGCTATCTCCTGTTTTATCAAAAAAAAAAAAAGCAATGTAAAATTTTTTTAAAAATATTTTTCACCGTGATAAAAATTAGATTAAGAGAATGTTTTAAAAATATTATAAATATCAATATATTTTATGTATAATAACCACATCCGATATCTCTTCTTGGAAATGCATTTGCAACAAAGTATACACGGATCAAGTTCGCACAATAAAATAACACCACCAATTAAAATCATAAACAATCAGTCAAGGATAAAAGTACTTGATTAATTGAATTTCATTCAACGTTAAGAATTTTTAACGTTAATTGACAAATAACTACCAATATATCAATTACTAAATCATCAATGGAATGAACTGATGTTCCATCCTACACAAGCACAATGAAGCTTCCAGATAATTCAAAGGAAAACATAAAAAACAAAAAAGCCATATCACTCCACAGTTTTGGTTTCTTTGAACGAAGGAGCAAGCATTGCCAATCTAACACAGAAGAAACAGAAAGCATGGTTAAAGTGCAATAAGCAAGTAGAGCAACAGAAGCAATGCCAATCTAACACAAGTTCCAGAATACCAAAAGAATAAAGCTCAGCAAACAGGGGAACAAATGAATAATGAGTGAACTAGATCATATCCACAGAGTGCCATCACTCACTTTGTATCTTATAAACAAATAAATCATCTGGTTACAGGGAGATTATAGCCAACTTGGATACAATTGAAATTCCAAACAGTATGAAAGAATCTTCACTAAATGGAAAGAAGTTGTTGCAGAAAAGCTCCGGACACTTGAAATAATTGATGCATGGCAACTCACTCAGACCACAAGGAGAGCAACAAGAGGAATGCAAATGGCTGTTTAGTGTGGAATATATATGGCAGATGGCAGGGTTGAAAGATACAAGATGGATAAGCTGCAAAAGACCACAAAAGTCTTTCATTTTCCCACAATTTAGGCTGGATAAAGAAACTGCATGCAATTATGTATGGAAATGTTTAGGGTTTAAGGTTTAGGGTATAGGGTGCCACTAAACTGGAATTTGGAAATGTTCATAGTTCCCATTTCCCAACTTCCATATCGACTCACAAAGAATCAAGCTCATTTACAATTGGCTACAGGCAATCCGGCCAACAATTTTCCTGTGATGAGGCATGTCTTGTACACAGTCCTCCCACAAGTATGGCATGCTACAATTGAACAATGAAAGAGGTCTACTCGTGGAAGAAATCACACCCTAGCACATTTCAATTTGCTACTTCATTTAAGACAACTACATAAGGATGGACACTCGTGAGTGCACGTGCTGGAGATTAAATCATTTAAGAATCACATGTTCATGATACTGGACCTTCTGAAAAAAAGAGGAGGCTCCCCCCGTGGACTTTAAACAATAATATGACACCAACATTTATATCTGTACTTCTATTTCCTAACTAATCCAAAATAGGATTTTCTTGGTCCCAAAACACCAGAGTGAATTTTAAAGAGCCCATCATATGATTGTCATTTTAGATGACAAAATCACAGACAATTTCATTTTATTCCTTCCTGCAATTTAAATCAGGAAATAATAAATCATGTGAAACAACTTAGCTGTGGCGATTCGAGACGGACAAACTACTTAGCCAATGCAGAAGCCAAGAATGAAGTTCGTTATCAAAGGTCTAAGCATATTGATGAGCAGTTGTGTTTTATCAGAAAGCAAACAAAACAAATTCCAATGAAGTTGAATTAGCGCAAGTGAAATTCAAGGAGCCAAAAATACAATATTTCTACAAAACCAGTTGATGAGATTTTTGAAGAGATCATACATAAATCGTAGTTCAAAAATAAAGAGCACGTGAATCACAAAAAGCCTCATAAAGGCTAGAAGAAAATATTCATGGCCAAGTTCTTGTAAGGATTATAAATCCCTTTGTCTGCCAATACCCTGAGACTGTAAACAGAGCACTGCTACAATCTAATTAGTGTGAGTGTGAGTGTGAGTGTAGGAAGTATTCAACATGAAAACTTTCGATACAGTGTAGGGTGCTTACAGCCGAAATGAAAGAAAGAACGGGCCTATGTTAATCCACAAGGACCATAACAAACCAAAAAAAATAAAAAAGATGTTAAAATAACTACACCAAATATATGAATAGAACAGAACTTCTTCAACAAAGATCACAAGAAGTATTAATCCAATAACTTTTAACCCAGCAGAAGCAAGCATTTTCTAACTATATTAGGACTATAAATATCATACGATTTTATGTATTTTCAAGAACTCTCATCTCAAAATGCACAATTGAATTTCCAGTTTACATAATAAGCTAATTAGCTTTGAAAGATATATCACATAAAACAAAGGCCTAGATAACCTGTAAGGCAGCAAATAATTCGTAGGTGTCTAGATGCAATAAATCCATCAAAAATTCCGGGCACCGTGCAGAAGCATACTGAGCAATGTCAATTTAACTCTTGATTTCGCAAATACAGGGCATATTTTACAGGTTAAAAAAAGCAGTCACCATAAAATAAAAAATCTGTTGATTTTTTTTTTAAATTATGCAAATAGTACAATAAATAACGCTTTTGAGCTCTAGGCTGATCAATAGCAGTGCCCATTACTTGCTACTTCTACCATTGGAACTTGTTCATCATGTGTTCCACTTGCCAAGTTCTCTGCTTTGTTCTTCCGATAGCCCTACCCCATGCAGGACCTCTCTAGCAATACAACAAAAGACTTCATTGAAGATTGAACTCACCACAAGACGCAAATTGAATGGCTGCAACAACTTGAAATGAGCCTAGTCATTGATGATGTTTGTCTCAGGCAAAGGTAAGAATGATCACCTTATTGAATTTAGAAAGAATGACAGTTGAGTCCATAAAGAGTGAATTAATGATAGGCCCTCGATAAAATTTTCCACCAAAAGAAATGTAAATATCAATTTAAATAAGCAGAAATCTTTATTATAATTTAAGAGTTACATTTTATACTTAAATACTTATTGCAATTGAAACTCCTGGATTCATTACAATCTAGATGAATATTTTCAACTTACTTTTTTAAAACACTTGTCAAGAATTCAACTGTTATTAATTCAGTGTTTTGAGACCTAACTGTATTCTGCATTGACTTTATTATTTTGGCTCACCAAGATTATGACCAATGATTTTAGCAAAAGATTTTGCATTTTATGACACTACCATAAATCAAGAATAGCTGTAAATGGGACACTCATATAAAGAAAACATTTTTGCATTTTTTTTGAGATCATAAGTACACTTTGTGATCTCAACTATAGAGAATTGTTATGACTTATGAATAGTATCTCCTTAAACAAATGCCTTTATGGCAACAATTAGTCCTACCAACTAGGAATCAAATGTTCCTACAGGAATATTTGAAATGTTCATATTCCACATGTCAACGAAGAAAGGTCATGCTCGTTTAAATTTTACCATAAGCAATCCTACAAAAAAGTTTCTAGTTTTTATATCTACCACAAGTTAGATATGCTCCAAATGAAAAAAAAAAAAAAAAAAACAAGGTCTCCCAATGACAAAATCACTTTTGAAGCATATTTCAAATTGCTACTTCATTTACAATAAGGATGAATACAAATACTAGAGAATAAGAAATTAAGCATCACAGGTTCATAATAGTTAATCTTACGGTTTAAAAGAAAGAGGAGGTATCCCAAGTTTCAAACTATGACAACACCATTTATTGAGTTAGCCTAACGAGACTTGCATTTGCAAACCGTTAACACAGATTCAACAATTAATAATACCATAATACTGGCTCAAAACCATTATTTATATTTGTACTCCTTAATTAGACAGTGATTTTTGTTGCAAATTAACCCCTTCAAGGCAGTATTGTTTTAAATAATAAAATATAAGACAATATCATTTTATTTTTAGCAACAATTCATATAAGGGAAAAAAATGTTTATTAATGAGAAACAAATCTGATGCCAGTTAAAGTTTGAAAAAAAAAAATCAAATTATAAACAAACTGTAAAACAAGGAGGAACAAACTAGTCCAAAGACCAAAAATACACAACAAAGGACCAATCCTCTAAGACTAGAATGAAAAGTTGATATATTAGCATATGACTTCAATATAACATCTTCAAGAGCAATCAACTCATTGAATAGTACAGCATCATTAACCCAAAATTAGCAACAACTTTTTTTTTTCCATTTATTTCAACTAAATCTTAACAAGTACAGCAATAATCAGAAATAGTATCTGACCTTATTTTAACATTTTAGAAGACCTCTACAAGTCATTTCATGAATAAGCATCTCGGCCTTATCATTCTCATTTTTCTTCAAAAGAGCTCCAACGAGCGTTTTAAATGTCACCAAATTAGGAGGGCAGCCATTCTTTGTCATTCTTGAAAGCAATGTGAATGCTTCACTGAACAAGCTTTCTTTGCAAAGTCCGTTCATCATAATGCTGTAAGTGTAGACATTTAGTTGATATCTTTCAGTCAAAAGGAACTCAAAGATCCTGCGTGCTAAATTTAGCCTACCTCCCTTGCACAACCATCAATTAGTATACTATATGTACACACTGTAAGTTGCATGCATTCCTTGGGAGACCATTTGTTGGTACAATGCAATTGCCTCGTCAAGACATTTCATTTTGCAAAATGCATTCAACAAAATATTGTAGGTTATTATATTAGGAGCTTGGCCATTACAATGCATCTCATAAACAAGATCCTGCACATTTGAAAGTCTCTTAGCTTTGCACAAGCCATCAATAAGAGAGCTGTATGTGACTGTATCAGCAACCAAATTCTTGCAGCGCATTTCTTTAAAAAGGTGTAGGGCTTCATTCACCATTTTTAACTTACAATATGCATTGATCAATATATTGTAACTCCATACATTAGGTGCCAAGCCAGTTTTGATCATCTTATTGAACACTTCTGTTAACTCGTTAACACTATTCCTCATACAGTACCCATTCATCAAAGAATTGAAGATAACAACATTAGGACTTAGAGAGCATTTCATCATTTTAGCAAAGATAGATTGAGCTTCTATGAGCCTTCCTCTTTTGCAAAATGCATCAACAAGTATATTACATGTATAAAGATCAAGAGATATGTCTTTCAGGGCTATTTCATTCACTAAGCTAGCAACTTCTTGCAATTGGTTGTTACTGGAAAAACCATGAGTTAAAGTATGTGTGTGACAATATTAGGACATAATCCTTGGCTGATCATTTCAGAACACAACTGAGATGCCTCACTTACAAGCCCTTCTTTACAAAAGCCATCAATGACTGTGTTATATATAATCAAATTACGCTTAGCTTTAATTCTTCGTCTCCCCATCATTCGTACCAATTTAACAGCACATCTCGTTTTTCCACTCTTACGCAGCCCATTAACTAAGGTGCCATAAGTTACTACGTCTAAGAAAAATCCTTTTGTCAACAGTTCATCGTGAAAGTCGAGTGCTTTCCCTACATCTTTCATGCAGAGTCCTTTCACCAATGCAGTCATTGTTATAGTATCTGGTTGGTAACCCCACTTGAAAATCTTACCCAATGAAGAAAAAGCAGAAGCCAAGCCACCCACATGACAGTAGCAATTGATCAAAATGTTCAGTGTAACTAAAGATGGTTGGAATCCTTTCAATTCGGCCTGGGCAGAAAGTGAGAAAGCTACTTGGTAGTGGTTGGACTTTGCAAGTGATCCTAAAATCTTATTAATTTCGACAATAGAGGGTCGGGGACGCATAATGAGCAAGCGATTGAAGGAAGCCACAGAGTCTTGGAGGCTATTAGCGTTTGGGGAATATGAATGAACACAAAATTGGAGAATGAGGGCAGAGGGGAGAGAAAGAATGGAGGAAGAGGCAAAGGCATACCTTGAAGTAGCAGAAGAGAACAACATCTTCAGATGAGATTGGAGAACAATGTCGAAAATATCAACGCAGCTTCCTCCAAAGGGGGAATGCGAGAAGGAATTGAGTCGCACGCAAGAGACTGCAAAAGAGAAGAAAGCGAAGATTAATCATCGTCTATCTCTACCGAATGTGTGATTTTTGGTCACAAATAATGTGGGAAAAATCACTCTAAAATCTCATGAAGGCATTTGAAATACATTGAGATCTCATAAATTTAAGAAATTGCTGTCAGATCTTAAAAGATTTAAGAGTGAATAAATTTAAAAACAAAATTATCCATTTGCCCAACATTTGAAATATTTGAAAATCACTATGTTTCCCAATCACCCACGAAAGCTGAAACGCACAATAAACGGTTCTGTGTTCCTCATTCTAACATTTTCCAAAGTTCATCGCCGACCACCATTCTCACAATCACATTCCGTTAGAGAAGACTATAACATCTGTTGTCGGAGAGTCCAAGACTAGAAGGAGTAAACAAAGAAAGTAGCGAGCTCCCGCTTCACTGACTTAAATATGCCTTAACCACCATCATCGGACTGTCTCTGCAATAATTTAGCCTGGCAAATGAATTTCTTAGATCCCAAGGAACATATACTCTTGTCTTGCTTAAGGATATTGGTATAATTGTTTGTAAATAGAAAGAAAAAAGGAGAAGTGTAGTTGTGCATGAGATTTTTGTAATCAAGTATAATCATGGTTTTTCTTGTCAAGATGTTTGCGCATTAATGACAAAATTCTCAATTCTGCTTATAAATCTATAATTTTAAATAATTATGAATTTCGCGATCGACGACAACTGCTTTCTTTGTTGACAACAACCATATACTCTATTGACAAAAACTATTTATTCCATGAATGACAACTAATTACTCCAATGACTACAACCATAAATTCTATTGAAAACAACAATATGCTTCATTGACTAGTAAACCATCATGACTAGTGAATCGCTTTTCTCTATGACTTGTGTTTTCTTGTTCCTTATGGATATTAATAAACAATGTCAGTGCAAAAATCTATGAGTTGGAACTTAGTATTAATGACTAGTGTGTAAAAATCTTTTTTCGACATATTTAATTAAACTTTTCTATTTTTTTTGAGATAAAGAAAGATGGAAGAGAAAGTAAAGACAATAGTGAAGAAATTTACTATTCCATTCCGTACGCACTGCTCTCCTAATCAATTTATTGAAGTAACAAAGTATGTGAAGGAAAATGAGAAATTATAAAAAAGGATAGAGAAGTTAGGATTCAATAGATTATTTGATATGTCTTGTAAAAAGATTTTTTATAGAATAGATTACTTGATGTGTCTTGTAAAAAGATTTTTTTACAGAACTTTAGGATATAATTTTATTGATAATCATATCCTTTTATATAGTTAGCTTATTTCGTGTAGTTAACTTGGATAATGCTATTATAAATGCTGATTACAAGTTTGTAAATGTGACAAACATTGAATATTAACAAGTGTTTATCACTTTATTGATAAGTAGTTATAAGTATATTGAAAAGCTATTAATTCACCATTGACAAGTGCTGAGGCACTAGGTGTTATTATTCCCTTCAAAAATCAACCAGTTAAAGGAACATGTTGACTACTTGTCGTTGGAAATTAACAAATGGTTATAACTATATTAACAAGGTAGTAATTCACCATTGACAAGTGCTAAGGCACTAGGTGCTGTTATTCCCTTTAAAAATTAACAAGGTGCAAGAACCTGTTGACTACTTACCATTGGCAACTGATAAGTGGTTATAACTATATTGACAAGGCATTAATTCACCATTAACAAGTGCTAAGGCACTAGGTGCTGTTATTCCCTTTAAAAATTAACAAGGTTCAAGAACCTATTAACTATTTGCTGTTGACAATTGACAAGTGGTTATAACTATATTGATAGGCTAGTAATTTGTCATTGACAAGTGCTGAGACACTAAGGGCTGTAATTCCCTTCAAAAATCAACCAGGTGTAAGAACCTGTTAAGTACTTGCCATTGGTCATTAATTACAAGGTATCACTTCATTTATAAGTTATGTATTCGCTATTGACAAATGCTAATATATTAGGTGCAATAAATAAAAAATAAATTCCAGATACATAAACAAAAAAATACACTAGTCTCTAATATTTTCTAGCATGAATTAGAATTTTTGCAAGTCTTGAAAGTATGACCAATCTTATGGCATTTTTCACGATGATAAACCTTTTTGTTTTGGAATTGAAATTCCCTTCTTTTATTCTTTGACCTACCTGAAAGCCTTCTAGTCATTGGTGTCCCTATATATGGAAAAAACGTAATATATATTTTTCAGAAGAACTTGCCATCTTATTAGTCAACTTGCACTACATACAGTGTATTGACAACTACACACAATGTATTAACAACACATTCATCCACTATTGACAAGATGCAGTGTTGTTTCATAGCAGAGATTTTTCAACAAAACAAGCTTGCATCAGATGCTTGAGAATAATATAAAAAATGTCTCATATGGAAAAAAAAAACCTAATACACGTTTTCCAATAGCATTTGTATTTTTACAAGTCAACCTGCAGTCCTACACAATACAGTGTATCGACAACTATTCATAGTATATTGACAACACAAGAAAACACTATTGATAATATATAGAGTTATTTACATCAAATATTTTTCAACGTATCAATATTGCATCAAATTATTCCATATATTAGCTCTACAAACCAAATGACTGCAGGTATACCTAGAAAGCATTATTTTATCCTTAAACAATAATGAAATCATTAATGCACAAGAAATCGTTTACCCAGCCAACAATAAATATGTTGCTATCAATCGATGATTTACCCAATTTTACGGCCAACAATCATTTACCTAGAAAAATTATTTTCTGTCGATGAAATGCTGTTGTTGTAGATGAAACACTCCCAACTCGCTTAGATAAAGACAAGGGCTGTACTCATAGATATAAAAAAGTGAAAATTACCCTATTGTAATCAACAAGCATGGATATGCAACAATCTTTAGTATTTTTGATCATGAATTTCGTGAGACATGCGGGCACAAGCAAAATCTCCTTTTTAATGCTAGAGGACAAATGAATAATTTCGTTTTCAGACTTATTCACCCTTAAGTCCCTTGAGATCTGGCAACGATTTTTTAAATTTATGGAATCTCAGTGTATTTTAAGTGCTTCCATGAGACTTTAGAGTGATTTTTCCATAAAAAAAAAGTTATATATGAATGGTCAAAAAGAAAAAACAGCCAATCCCAACCAATTGATAGGGCCAATTTATACATAAATTATGATAGGCATTTGGCTCTCAGATTGAATAAGTGTGGCTTGTATAATTTGAGAAAAATAGGAATAAATTGCTTCACAGAGTGTTTTATGTGGATTTCTGATAAAGAAGGCAAAAGGAGAACAAAATCCCATAATGACAAAGGAATCATGCCCTTGGTTACATTCGCGCACGGACAAAGCTTGTGATGAAGAGGAGTGTTTGTGCATGGCTTGCACACGGACGAGCTACAATGCGGCTCAACCGTAAGCAGACATAAATAGAAGAGACAAAGATAGCAACTAATAAAATTATTAAAGAATTATATTAATTATATGATAAAAGGAAATTTGGGCCAATTGGACTCTTAAGTTTTTAGGGTGCGAAAATTTTGTTTTTTTTTTTTAACCCCTCACTCTAGACTGAGCATCGGATTATGGTTTTTCTCTTAAGATATGAAAATTTATGAAAAAGAACTCGCCCTGGAGATTTGGAGAGTGAAGCCAGAGATGGCAATCAATCCATCCATGAACACAAAGTTTGAAGATAATGAGTATAAATCTTCTGATTTTCTGAATGACTTTTGCTAGTAGATCTAGGTGGTTATGATGTGAATCAAGATTTCTCTTTTGACAAATGAAATTTACAAAAGCAATTATTTGCTTTAGTAATTCAGATTGTAGTTATTGCATGAGCAAAAGCAATGTGTCCCTATATTCATTCAAATCTAGAGACTTATTAAGCAAATGAGAGCAGTCCCAATAATCCATACTTGCTTACAGTTAAGGAGCAATTAGGGATTGCCTTAATAACTTCCAATTGGCATTAATTTTTTTGGACAAATTGCATATAGGTTTTATAAAGTAGACTTATTTATAAATAAGTCTGTAAAATTTAGAAACCATAATCAAGTCTCTTAAAATTTTAAATGTAATTTAAAATTAAAATATAAAAACAATATTATCCTTACTTGTAATGCATGATTAGTCTAACTATTAAATATACGAAGTTATTATAAATTACTAACAAAATAATTTACAAGACTTATTTGTAAATAAATATGCTCCACAAGACTTATAATTTTCTTGATTTTTATATATAAATCTCTTTATAATTTTTATATATAATAAGCACATCTAATATCTCAATGGAACGACAAAGCATACTTGTATCAAGTTCAAACAATAAAGTAACATCACCAATTAAAATCACAATCACTTAGTCAAGGATAAAAATACTTTATCAATTGAATTTCTTTCTATCTTACTCCTGTAGTCCTACTTATAGAATAGAGAACGAAAATTTATCTTAATCTTATTTATAAAACACCTCAATAATTATTATATTCATCTTTACTCCTTTGTCTCTATTAAATGTTGAGGTCATTAAATGTTAACATTATTTATTTTCAAAGTGTGTATATTTAACAGGGATAAATTTGAAAACTTGTTGAATTTTTATATAAAGTTAATGAAGTTAAAAGTTTTTTAGTTCCAATAAAATATTAAAAGTGACTAATAAATAAAAGTAGAGAGAGTAAGAATTTTAAACTTCAATTGACAAATAACTACTAATCTATCGATTACTAAATCATCTATTGAATTAATGTTCCATCCTACAGCAGAATGAAGCTTCCAATTAATTCAAAGGCAAAAAAAGAAAAAAAAAAAAAAAAAAAAGAGGCCACATCAGTCCACAGTTTGGGTTCTCTGTCCCACAAACTAACCATGGTTGATGGTTCTCCAATGCCTTACACTTGCCTAAACCTGAATGGCTAAACCTATCAACCCACGTGAGACCCTTGAACCAAGGAGCAAGCAAAGACAAGCATAGTTAAAGTGCAAAAAGCAAGTTGAGCAACAGAAGCATTGCCAATCTAACACAAGTTCCAGAATACACAAAAATAAAGCTCAAATCAGGGGAATTAATGAATAATGACTCTGAAGAATCTTCACTAAATGGAAAGAAGTTGCTGCAGAAAAGCTCTGGGCACTTGAAATAATTGATGCCTGGCAACTCACTCAGACCACAAGGAAAGCAACAAGTGGAATGCAAATGGCTGTTTAGTGTGGAATATGTATGGCAGATGGCAGGGTTGAAAGATACAAGGTGGATAAGCTGCAAAAGAGTACAAAAGTCTTTCATTTTCCCACAATTTAGGCTAGATAAAGAAACTGCATGCAATTATGAATGGACTACACTAAACTGGAATTTGGAAATGTTCGTAGTTCCCATTTCCCAACTTCCCATATCGACTCACAAAGATAAATCTCATTTACAATTGGCTACAAGCAGTCCGGCCAACAATTTTCCTGTGATGAGGCATGTCTTGTACACAGTCCTCCCACAAGTATGGCATGCTACAATTGAACAATAAAAGAGGTCTACTGGTGGACGAAATCACACCCTAGCACATTTCAATTTGCTACTTCATTTAAGACAACTACATAAGGATGGACACTCGTGAGTGCACGTGCTGGAGATTAAATCATTTAAGAATCACACGTTCATGATACTGGACCTTCTGAAAAAAAGAGGAGGCTCCCCCCGAGGACGTTAAACAATGATATGACAACGACATTTAGAGCTGTACTTTCCATTTCCTACCAAATCCAAAACAGGATTTTCTTGGTCCCAAAACATCAGAGTGAATTTTAAAAGGCCCATCATATGACTATCATTTTAGATGACAAAATCAAAAACAATTTCATTTTATTACTTCCTGCAATTTAAATCAGGAAATAATAAATCATGTGAAACAACTTAGCTGTGGTGATTCCATACGGACAGACTACTTAGCCAACACAACAGCCAAGAATGACGTTCGTTATGAAAGGTCTAAGCATATTGATGAGCAGTTATGTTTTATCAGAAAGCAAACAAATTCCAATGAAGTTGAATTAGCGCAAGTGAAATTCAAGGAGCAAAAAATACAATATTTCTACAAAACCAGTTGATGAGATTTCCGGAGAGATCATATATAAATTGTAGTTCAAAAATAAAGAGCATGTGAATCACAAAAAGCCTCATAAATGCTAGCAGAAAATATTGATGGCCAAGTTCTTGTAAGGATTATAAATCCTTTTATCTGCCAATACCTTGAGACTGTAAACAGAGGACTGCTACAATTTGATTAGTGTGAGTGTGAGTATGAGTGTGGGAAGTATTCAACATGAAAAGTTTCGATAAAGGGTAGGGTGTTTACAGCCAAAAGGAAAGAAAGAACGGGTCTATGTTAATCCATAAGGACCATAACCAACCGAGCAGAAAGATGTTAAAATAACTACACCAAATATATGACTAGAACAGAACTTCTTCAACAAAAATCACAAGAAGAATTAATCCAATAACTTTTAACCCAGCAGAAGCAAGCATTTTCTAACTATATTAGGACTATAAATATCATACGATTTTATGTATTTTCAAGAACTCACACCTCAAAATGCACAATTGAATTTCTAGTTTACATAATAAGTTAATTAGCTTTGAATGATATATCACATAAAACAAAGGCCTAGATAACCTGTAAGGCAGCAAATAATTCGTAGGTGTCTAGATGCAATAAATGCATCAAAAATTCCGGGCATCATGCAGAAGCATACTGAGCAATTTCAATTTAACTCTTGATTTTGCAAATACAGGGCATATTTTACAGGTTAAAAGAAGCAGTCACTATAAAATAAAAAATCTGTTGATTATTTTTTTAAAATTATGCAAATAGCATCATTTCTAGGGAAAGAACAATAAATAATGCTTTTGAGCTCTAGGCTGATCAATAGCAGTGCCCATTACTTACTTCTACCATTGGAACTTGTTCATCATGTGTTCCACTTGCCAAGTTCTCTGCTTTGTTCTTCTGATAGCCTTACCCCATGCAGGACCTCTCTAGCAATGCAACAAAAGACTTCATTGAAGATTGAACTCACCACAAGACGCAAATTGAATGGCTGCAACAACTTGAAATGAGCCTAGTCCTTGATGATGTTTGTCTCAGGCAAAGGTAAGAATGATCACCTTATTGAATTTAGAAAGAATGACAGTTAAATCCATAAAGGGTGAATTAATGATAGGTCCTCGATAAAATTTTCTACAAAATGAAATGTAAATATCAATTTAAATAAGTAGAAATCTTTATTACAATTTAAGAGTTACATTTGATGCTTAAATACTTATTTGCAATTGAAACTCCTGGATTCGTTATAATCTGGATCAACATTTTCAACTTACTTTTTTAAAACACTTGTCAAGGATTCAATTGTTACTAATTCAATGTTCTGAGACCTAACTGTATTCTGCCTTGACTTTATTGTTTTGGCTCATCAAGATTATGACCAATGATTTTAGCAAAAGATTTTGCATTTTATGACACTAATATAAATCAAGAATAGCTGTAAATGGGACACTCATATAAAGACAACATTTTTGCATTTTTTTTGAGATCACAAGTACACTTTGTGATCTCAACGACAGAGAATTGTTGTGACTTATGAATAGTATCTCCTTAAACAAATGCGTTTATGGCAACAACTAGTCCTACCAACTAGGAATCAAATGTTCCTACAGTAATATTTGAAATGTTCATATTCCACATGTCAACAAATAAAGGTCATGCTCATTTAAATTTTACCATAAGCAATCCTACAAAAAATTTTCGAGTTTTTATATCTACCACAAGTTAGATATGCTCCAAATGACAAATAAAAAAGGTCTCCCAATGACAAAATCACTTTTCAAGAATATTTCAATTAGCTATTTCATTTACGATAAGTATGAATACAAATAATAGAGATTGAGAAATTAAGCATCACAGGTTCATGATAAAAGAACAAGGAGGTATTCCAAGTTTCAAACTTTAAGGTTTAAGCTATGACCACACTGTTTATTGAGTTAGACAAAAGAGACCTGAATTTTAAAACCATTAACACAGATTCAACAATTAATAATAGCATAATACTGGCTCAAAACCATTATTTATATTTGTACTCCTTAATTAGACAATCATTTCTGTTGCAAATTAACCCCTTCATCGCAGTATTGTTTTAAATAATAAAATATAAGACAATATCATTTTATTCTTAGCAACAATTCATATAAGAAAAAAACTGTTTATTAATGAGAAACAAATCGAATACCAGTTAAAGTTTGAAAAAAATCAAATTATAAACAAACTGTAAAACAAGGAGGAACAAACTCATCTAAAAACCAAAAATACACAAAAAAAAAAAACCAATCCTCTAAGAATAGGAAGAAAAGTTTATATATTAGCATGTGACTTCAATATAACATCTCCAAGTGCAATCAACACACTCAACAGTACAACATTATTAACATAGAAGAAGCAACAACTTTGTTTTCATTTATTTCAAATGAATCTTAACAAGTACAACAATAATAAAAAATAGCATTTGACCTTATTTTATTATTTCAGAAGACCTCTACCAATCATTTCATGAATAAGCATCTCTGCTTTATCATTCTCATGTTTCTTCAAAAGAGCTCCCACAAGCGTTCTAAATGTCACCAAATTAGGAAGGCAACCATTCTCTGTCATTTTTGAAAGCAATGTCAATGCTTCACCGCACAAGCCTTCTTTGCAAAGGCCATTCATCATAATGTTGTAAGTGCAGACATCTAGATGATTACTTCTAGTCAAAAGGAATTCAAAGATCTCATGTGCTAAATTTAGCCTACCACCCTTGCACAGACCATCAATCAATATACTGAATGTCCACACTGTAGGTTGCATTCCTTGGTTGATGATTTGCTGGTATAATGCAATGGCCTTGTCAAGAAGTTTCATTTTGCAAAATGCATCCAACAAAATATTATAGGTTATTATATTAGGAGCTTGGCCATTACAAGGCATCTCATAAACAAGATCTTGCACATATGAGAATCTCTTAGCTTTGCACAAGCCATCAATAAGAGAGTTGTAAGTGACTCTATCAGGAACCAAATTTTTGCGGCGCATTTCTTTAAAAAGATCTAGGGCTTCATCCACCATTTTTAATTTACAATGTGCCTTGATCAATATATTGTAATTCCAGACATCAGGAGCCAAGCCATTTTTTATCATCTTGTTGAATACTTCTATTGACTCGTTAACATTATTCCCCGTACAGTATCCATTCATCAAAGAAGAGAAGGTAACAGCATCAGGTTTTATAGAGCATTTCATCATCTTGGCAAAGAGAGACTGAGCTTCTACAATCCTTCCTCTTTTGCAAAATGCATCGACTAGGATATTAAAGGTATAAAGATTTGGAGTGATGTCTTTCAAAGCTATTTCATTTAGAAGTCTAGCCGCTTGTTGCATTTGATTGACGCAGAGGAGACCATGAATTAAGGTGTTGTATGTGATAATATCAGGACATAATCCTTGGCTCATCATTTCAGAACACAATTGAGATGCCTCACTTACAAGCCCTTCTTTACAAAGGCCATCAATGACTGTGCTGTATATAATCAAACCAGGCTTAGTTTTAATTCTCCGTCTTCCCATCATTTGGAGCAATTTAACAGCACATCTCGTTTTTCCACTCTTACACAGCCCATTAACTAAGATACCATAAGTAACTGAGTCTAAACAAAATCCTTTTGTCAACAGGTCATCGTGAAAGTCCAGCGCTTTCCCTACATCTTTCATGCAGAGTCCTTTCATCAACGTATTCATTGTTATAGTATCCGGTTGATAACCCCACTTGAAAATCTTACCCAATGAAGAGAATGCAGAAGCCATGTCACCCGCTTGACAATAACAATTGATCAAAATGGACAGAGTAACTAAAGATGGTTGGAATCCTTTCAATTTTGCCTGGTCAGAAAGTGAGATAGCCACTTGGTAGTGTTTGGACTTAGCAAGTAGTCCTAAAATCTTAGTAAATTCGACAACGGAAGGCGGGTTACTCAGGGAGAGCATGCGATTGAAGGAAGCGACGGAGTCTCGTAGGCTATTAGGGTTTGGGGAATGGGAATGAACACGAAATTGGAGAATGAGGGCGGAGCGGAGCGAAAGAAGGGAGGAAGATCGAGAGGATTGCAGAAAGAGAAGAGATTTAGAGAAGGCATACCTTGAAGGAGCAGTAGAGAACATCGTTCTTAGATGAGATTGGACGAAGAATGTCGGATATATCCACGATGCTTCTTCCAGATAAGAAATACTAGGAGGAATCAAGGAATTGAGCCGCAGGGAGGACACAGCAAAAGAGGAAGTGCAAGGTTTTTTTTTTTTTTTTTTCCATTTCTTTATAAAAGTACAGTAATCTGAAAATACTATTTTTTTATACAATTTTAATATAAATTCGAATGATATTTAAATTGATGGCAAAAAGAATGATATAATAATTTAATTTCTTATAATTAAGAGCCAAATAATAGCATGTGATGAAAATTTTTACTCTCACTATTATTAATTTATTATCTACTTTTATTAATAAAAAAAACTACATACGAATGATTAAAAAGAAAAATAGCTCCCCAATCCCAACCAATATATGAAAATATAATGAAATAAGACGGCTACTTTTTTTTGCTGCCAATGTGATCCTTCTGGCATTACCCATAAATAATGAATAATTGTAAGGGAGAGCATCGGTTAATTCGATTTGGTTCGATTGTGATTAAAGAAAATTGATAAACTAAAATTTAACAATTTTTTGAACCGAACCGAATTTTAGTGGTTCGGTTCGGTTATTTATTTCAGTTATTAGGCCTTTTTATCAACACACTAGGCCTTTTTTTGTCAACAAATTGGGCTTGTCTTCAAAAAAGAACATCATACTAATTAAGAAATAATTTAAAACACCAGATGCCCCTAACTAAAGTAGAGGAAAAATGATCTGGACTGGTCTAGTGCTGTGAAATCTTAATTCTTGAAACGTCAAACAATTATAAAATTAACATGATAAATATAAATAGTGAGAGAAACAAAAGGGATCTCCAAAAACAATAACGTGGACACTGGACAACATAGAAAAACATATCAAAATAAAGGAATCAAATATAATACTAGTATTTCTAAAAAATATTAATAAAAATACAAACAATCCTTAATAATATAAATCAATTATAATATTTATAAATATATACAATTAATTTTAGTTAATTCGATTTATTCGGTTTTGCAATCTTCAAACCGAACCGAACCATTTAAACTAGAATTCTTTTAAGAAAAAACTGAACCAACCATTTAAACCGAATAAACCAAACCAAATAGATCAAACTCAATTTGGTTCGGTTCGGTTTTCGGTTTCGGTTCGGGTTTGCTCACCTCTAGATAATTGTATCCTAAAAAGATTACTACTTATCTTTTAGCCTTTATTTGCAATGTTTATTTTTTTAATAAAAGAATATTTACGATGAAAAGAAAAAGCATCAAACTAAAGATTGCAATGTTTAGTTGGGAATTGAAAGAACTACAAGAAATGAATTTTTTAGATGTATTTGTTTTTATTTTAAATCTCAACTTACCTTTCTCATTTCTTTGAATTTTTTTCCTTGGTCAAGATTTCTTTGAAATTTTGAGTTTCTTGCCTTTTTGTGCTTTACCAAATGCTGTCACTATTAGCTCCAACTTGAGTTTTGTAACATCCTCCTTATATGTTCTCAAGCAAGGCTCTTCTTGTGTTCTCAAGAAAAAGTCCTATTTAATGAGTGACTTCCCATATGTATATATTTGTAGGTCAAGTTTAAGCCTGACTTCTTAATTATCATTGGTAAGAAGCATTTTGGGAAAATGATAATTAAGTTTTAAAAGATTCAACTGATAATAATTAAGTTCTCAAGAAAAATTAAAAAAAAAGTTGAAAACATTTATTCAAAAAATTAAAAAAATTATGAAATTTAGTTGAATATAAAACCTTCAAGTGCAACTCTCATAACTCTCAAACTATATATGTGATTCCTCTTATTTGTAACTATTTAAATTGATATTTATAACTTATTTTTTAGAAAAAATTGTTAAGAATTTAACTATCATTAATTTAATGTTTAGAAACCTAACCATTATTCTCACACACATTTTTCATTAGCCCATATAAATGACGCATGATTTCTTTGCATATGAGAAATATTAGCAACTTGATAAGGAATTAAAAATATGCTCACCAATGGATATTGAGTCTAATAAAAGAAATTAATCCTTTATAATATAATAAACTAAATTCAAATCTCCACTGAGAGATATGCTCATATTTAGTTTATCAACCATGCCTCGAACATTATTACTTTTAATAGAAAGAAACTTGTGGGTAATATATATATATATATATATATCCTTATCTTCAAATTTAAAAATTATTTGGACTAATGTTGTGGATGAATAAAACTTAAAAGACTTGGATCAACAAAAAAATATAGACTGCCACCAAAACACACTAAATATAAAGATCAACAATTATATTTTTTCTTATTTTCTTTAAAGTGCTTCTAACTCCCATGAGTAATACCTTTAGGTCAAAGCTTGCACCTAAACCCAAAATTAAAAAAATTATTTTCTATGATTTGGAAGTCTTGAGCAGAATAATATAAATCATAACTAAAAAATAAAGATATTGAATTGTATTCTTTTGCCAATGTTTTTATATCCAATCCAGTTTGATTTTTTTTTTAGCCAAATCCAGTTTGATTAAAGAATAATAGAATATTCAATCCAGTTTGGACTAAGAGTAATAGAATATTTTTGTTTTCATTATTAAAATTATATAATACTTGAAAAGAAAGTAGGACTTTGACAGAGCACGAATTATTATAAGATAATAAATGATGTGGAATATTATAAATAAATGTTATTTTAACTTATTTTTACGCATTTTTTATTTAATAATTTCATACCTTTTTTTTTAATAAACCGTGGGGCAAAGTTCAAACAAAAACATAATGAACCTCGGGAAATTCTAATTTCATAATTTAATAGTGACTTCTGTTCATTATTTGGCCAAACCTATCTTAAATCATATTCACTTCGTCCCAAATTATAAAATACTTTTATACAAAATTTCATATATTAATAAATTTTATTAAATATACTTAACAATCTTATTTTTTTCAAAATAAAAATGTAAATTTTCAAAAATATCTTTCATTTAATAACATTAAATTCACATCTAATTAGTATTAAATAGAGAAAGAGAAAAGATAATATTGAAATAAACCTACATAATCAACCTTTAATCTTCTCAAAAGTGATTTATATTTTGAGTCGGTAAATCTCTTTTAAAAGTATTTTATAATTTAAAATGAAAGGAGACAGCAAGCCCATGCATGTTTCCATGATTCGATTACACAGTAGGAAAAATAAAATTTTACTTTTAAGCTTTATTTAGAATGGTGGAAAAAAATTTGTTTAAAGGGTTATTAAAAAATAAATTTGTCTTGAAACCTTCTCCCTAAATATACTTGGTATCCACTATCCTATACGGCTAAACTTTTTATTAGAGCAATATTATCTTTTGTTTTTTAAAAATGATGTTTAATTCTCACTCGCTCACACGTTAACCGTTAAAAACATTGATGTGGCAAGCGGACGAACTCCCATGCGAAAATTTTTTTACATCCGTGGCTCGAACAATCTATTGTCTGCAACATATTTCAATTAAACCACAACTTCAAAAGCAACGGAATCAATCAAACAAAATCATAAAGCAACATAGACAAGCTCTAAAGTTTCTCTTTATATCCACAGCTTTAAAACAAACAAAACAGCTCTGATTTTACTTGCACAATTCAGATCAATTAGATTCAGATTTCAATGTCAAATCTCTAATTTTCTTCCCAGAAATGGATGAAACAGAAACGGAACAAGGCTTTTGCTAATATCTCAAGAATGTTATATATTCCGAGAGAAATAGAGTAATCTCAGAGAGATTGAACCAGCAAAGAACGAGGAAATAAAGAGAAGGTAAGAACTAGGGGTGTTCAGTCCGGACCCGTCCCGATTGGTCCGGTATCGTCCCGATCATATCGGGACGGATCTTGTCCCAGCCCAAAAATAATCGGGACGGGACTTTACGGGACGGGACAGGAAAGAGGTTCGGGACGGGACGGGACACGGGATTACCATCGAGACGTCCCGTCCCGTCCCGAATATTATATATATTATTTTTTATTTTAAATATATTAATTATATTAATATAATTTATACTTATATTAATTATATCAATTATAATTTTAATACTTACAATTCTTATTTAAAACTAAAGTTTTTTTATATTGATAATTTTAATGGCATGGAGTAAACATGGCGATATCTTTCTTTATAATATATTAATTATATTAATATAATTTATTCTTATATATATCTATTTAATAACTTTTATTTACAACGTATTTTTTGCTTATTTTTAGAAGAGTAATTAGCTTAGTACATCTTCACTAAAGTAGAAGAATAATGATTTGATGTTATGTTTGACTTGTCTGTTGTTACTAATCTTATAATATAAAGATCATTTGTGCTTATTATTATAATGTGTAGTTATGATTAATATAATTCAATAATTGATTTTAAATTATTGTTATTTATGTACTTGTGTTGTTTTGATTTTAAACTTAATAAATTATATGATTTAAAATTTTAATGAATGTTATTATCCAGATCTTTTTTCGATATTATTCCATTTATCGGAACGGCGGGACGTCCCGATCTTGTCCCGGTCCCGTCCCGACTCTTAACGGGACGGGACGACTTTCGAGACAGGACGGGACATGGGACTAAAATTCAGTACCGATCTTTTTTTCGGGATGGGACACGGGACAGGGGTGTCCCGGTCCCGTCCCGTAAACACCCCTAGTAAGAACATAGAGCGAAGAGACTTACTCGATGCCGGCGACACAGTGACAAGGAGAAGACGAGATGGGTGAGAAGGAGAATGGCCACAAGAGAGGAGACTGATAGAGAGAAATGGGAGAGAACATCGAAGAGTGAGGGAAGAGTGAGAGGTAGAAATTGAGCTTCGACACAAGAACCAAGCCACACTGCAACGCCGGGGAGATGAGAGACTAGTCTGAAAAGAGGAAATGGGGATCTTCAATGGTGAAGGAGGTGGAACGGTGGAGTGAGCTTGAGCATGACAAGTCGACTGCAGAGGAGGAATGGTGTCAACGGAGGAGCAAACGGCCAGCCGCCGGCGTGAGCCAGAACGGCGAGGAACCCCAGTTTCTGACAAATGAGGATGGGTTTCTTCCT